CCAATCCCAACATTCTGTGATTCTGTGAATGAAGGACCACCCAGAAAGCAAAATCCAATTTACTTCTGTTTTCCAGTGAGGAAGTTGATGATCTCTTGGAAGAAGCAGAGGAGAGAGAAAGCAAAATTTTCTTAATAAAAGCTTTTACATATTTTTGAGCAGCAGGAAAATAAATATTCCGAAGTCAGTATTTGACAGTCACTTATGCTTTCATACAAAACTTATTTTCCATAATTTTGGGGAGATTTAGGTTTATATGTAGGCTTCTATGGGAGCTGTTTTCCTTTCCAGGTTATTTTTTTTTATTCAGGCATTTGTCAGTTCAAATCCTAAAACTAATCCTGACCTTGTAAATTAAATGGGATTAAGAAAACAATACCCTCAGTGGAGTCCTAGGTTCAAGGATTCTTCTGTTGAGGGAGTTTTTAACTGTGAAAGAAAATTTAGGAAATAGCCAACAGTCTTTATTGATAGAAATATTTGTTTTTACTTTATAGGCATTTAGTCATAGTAAGGCCGTGACGTGTTTACTTGCTATGATACAGTACTGTGTTTCTCTGAAGTTTAACGAACTTGTATATGTCTTTCTACTGTAGATTGGATCTCTGCATCATGGACTTGGTTGTGTACGTATTTCTCTCGCATTCCTTCAAACTTTATAGTCATTTTAACTACCAACTTTATCTTAAACTGACGATAATGTATTCTAATACGTTTTAGCTTTTTTAAAAATTAGATGTTTTTCAAGACAAAATTTCCTATTACTTATACTCCAAAGTATAAAGATTTTCTGAAAAATATATTTCCCAGAGAGACTGCTTAATATATTGCCAAGAGTTTCCTAGACCTGTTTTTAGTACACTTCTTATACCTTTCAAATGCTATTATCCCCGTAGAAATTAGACAGACAGTAAAGAATAAATAACTATGTAAAATTACAGTTGTGCCTCACCTTTCCACCTGGGCCCTGCTGTGTTTATTCTTTCTGATCCTTTTCAGCATTGAACGATACTCTACAAAGATATTGCCAGTTAACTTAATAGCTCTCTTCTGAAAGGCAGATGAACATAGAAAGTACTGATTCCAGATTTAAGTTATAGGCATATTCAGTAGTAATCCTAAAACTATTCTTTTAATGCAGTGTTCCACTTAGTTGAATTTTATGATAACATTATTGCTAGTAGTTTTGAACAAAGAAACCACCTCATAGCAGAGGAGTGCACGTAGTGCTCTGAAATCTGACTCCCTTATACAAATTTGATCCTAATGATTTATTTTTTTTCCTCAATTATAAGTACACTGCACATCAGCATCTTCACTCAGGACAATCCAGAGAAGGAACTTTAAACTTCCATTTGTTTTTTTCAGTCTTCCATTTCTTGCTTTTTCTGTGTGAGCAATTAAAATCATGCAAAGGTAGTTTCATATTCCTAAGTGAAGTACCTGCCGTTCTTTGGTGGATGCCTGTCTAGCAGTACCACCGGACAGTAAAAACAAACTGAGATGTGACCTTCAGAAAGCATGGTGGAGGGGACTCTGACCGAATCATCTGTTGCTATGAATGAGAGCATTGTCTGGAGTTAAACTTCAGTACCAGGGCTCACTGTGGTTGTCTGCAAGTTCATAGGCTCAGTGACTACCCTTGGGTTCTGTTATCTCACTGTAGCAAATCTCAGGCTGCCAAGAATTATAAAGAAATATAATATATATAAATGAAATACATGTATAGTTACCAAAGAATATTCTCAACTTCAAATTTTAAAGGATTTATTTTAGTATTGTTGACAAGCTATCATCATTTGCATTTGAAAGAAATTAAGTCTCACTCTGTTGAAAACAGCAACTTTGGAGATAGCTTCAGCAGACATTTCAAATAAGAAAATGGAAAATTATTCTACGTTTTCTTGGTGGCATGAGAAAATAAGACAGACTGAAAATGCGTTTACTTTTTCCTAATGTCACTATTTCCTTGGTATTGGGGAGTGAACAAACTGAATTAACTCAGGGGCTGACAAAAAGTAATCTACAACATCAGTATATTCTTCTCACAAAAGCTAAAGTTTCCTTTCTTCTAATAAAGATAAGTAAAAATCCTCAGGAAAGCAAACATCCTTTGCCTTGAGCTCCCACTTGCTTAATCTTCAGTTCTTTCAAGGTTTTATCATTTCACAAAGTAACACTCTATCCCCAGTAAAACTTTCACTGACATCCATATACAGGAATGAAAGCTGTTAGAGAATATTTTATATAAGAACTCTGATGAAGTTTCAATGTCATGCAAGTTTGTGGAATATAAATCTTTATTTTTCGGTGGTGGTCCTTTGATGAAAAAGTCTAATGGGCTTAGAGGTAAAAATATTTGAAGTATTAAAAAAAAAAAAAAAAAGATTCTCGAGTAAAAAAGATGCTCTTTCTTGGCTAAATACTGCTGTATTAACCACAAACTTCTGTATTATCGTAGGTCCTCTCTCTGCCCCACCGGAGGCTTGTTTGCTACTGTAGGCTGTTTGAAGTTCCAGATCCAAATAAACCTCAGAAGCTTGGATTGCACCAGCGAGAAATATTTTTATTTAACGATCTTCTTGTGGTACGTATTTTCAGGTGGATAAATTTCTAGTGAGGTATTCAGAAGTGCCTGTCTCCATGAAATCAGTGGCAATTAAGTGCATGAGTGTTCCTAAAAATAAATATCTATTACCTCTTACTCTGTACTTCAACAATCTTGGGATGATTAAGATTTAAATTTTCTTCCTTTTCTTCATTATTTCTAATTCTTTTTTAAAATGAAGCCTTTTATTGATTACTACACTCTGTCGTAAGAAAGTACTTTGATGCAATAGCTTATACTATAAAGAACAAAAACTACCTCCACTTTACCCATTTCCCTAATGGGTAAGTGGAGACTCTTTATTCCATGAATAATGAACTCAAGTTATTTGTGAAAAAACAAAGTTACATACTACTTTGTATTCCTCAGATGTTCTGTGAACCAGATATGTTTATTCATTGAAACAGGAATAGGATATGTTGAAATACATTTTAGAGTTGACTCTACTTTTTTGTATGCATTTGACTTGACCCAGTCTTTTGAAAAACAGACATACAAAACTAATGACAGGTTGGAGTTACTTGGTTGATTTACTCTTAAAAATGGGAAAATTTATTGCACTCTATTTGGAATGTATTTTGCTGTTACCAGAGAAGTAAGAACTAAACAAAATATTTCATGTTTTGTTACAAAAAAGGCACACTTCATGTGCACAATTATATTGTGTCTAATTTTTACATATCTTCAGACCTTAAACCGGGAAGTAAATGAAAAAAAAAACCAACAAAAAAAAACAACCAAAAAACCAAACCCATTTTCGATTGTGAGTGTAACCTCCTATTGTAAATGTCAGCTTGGGTGTGAAATGATGGAACACTGTCATCTTCAAGCTGCAATTTTTACAAGTTTGAAGTTGCAAGTTTTATGTTGTTTTTATTACTTACTCAGGTGTCAGTAGTTTTAACAACCTGTTTTGGGAGTAATACAGATCAAATTTGTCAGCTCTAGTAAGATGCCATCACTAAAAGTTAAAATTAGAAAGAACTAGTAAAAAGAAACGTCTTGGTTATAAAGCAGAAGAGTGGTTGCATTCACACTTTAGAACCCCAAAACTGATGGTAAGTAGTAGTGTGTTACTTCTATTATAGCAAAAAGTAAAGATTCCCAGAGACTCTGAGCTTTTATTGAGATAGGTGCTGTACAAATCTCAGGGGAAATAGGGCATCCTTGGGTGAGGTAGTGGAAGGCAGTGTTTGGAGGTGTGCAGAAGTGGAGCAGGTTTGGAAGGTCACAGCATGTGAGATTAAGGGCTAAGAATTCAATTTGTGTGGAGAGATCAAATGGGCATGTCCTTCCTGTAGTCAGGCTGTAAGAACAAAAGTGTGAAGGAAAGTGTGATAGCACCTAAGGTTTTTTTAAAAGGATAATTTAAACATATTTACATGTTTGTTGGCATGTGCAGTGCACAATAAGGATGCAGGGTTTTTTTCTTTCTGGAATTTCAAGTAGAGTCCTGGAGAACAGAGAAAGGCTTTGTATCTGGAGAAAATATTAAACCTTCTGGTTAAGAGATACCAATGCTTCAAAGCTAGCTTTGTTCCTTCAGTAGTAGTAGATTAAAGACATCAGATGCAAAGGAAAGGAAAAGGAAAG